GTGTAGAAGACCTCCTTGCCACTGCCATGTTTAAACATGATGAAAGTCTAGAATTTTCGAGGCTAACCTTTGAAAAAATACGGAAGGAGGGTAAATGTTTAACCTGATGGGGGTATACGAGTTTATCGGATTCATTTGTAGAGTTTACAGAAAAGGAAATATGCAAATACTTTGTGGCGTCTATGTTAAAAATATTCTTGAGCTTCGAGAATGGAGCTATGCTGAAAAGAGTTTTGTAGAGAACAGAAGCATAGAAGTAAGGTGAATCTAACTATGTAAACTAATTATAACAGAAAAGATTAGCTAGAAGTTACCTATTGCAACCTATGATGTTTCTAGATGCTAAAAAAAATATCTGTGAAAACGCTAAAAAATACTTATAAAGAGAGCTCTCAGTTACTGCTTCATCCTTCTCAAAGATTCCAAGCTTAAAGTTGTCAACTAAAATATCATTGCATCGCTTTATTAAGACATTAGCGGTCGTTCCAACGAGGCGTACGTCCTGAACGGATCACACCTTATATGAGGAAAATTCTGTGTGAAAATGTTTCAATAACAAACCTGTGTCGCTACTTTCACCTTCAGCATGTAGTAATCGCTCTCTTTAGGAATTTTATCAACACTAATTGTCCAAACTCTTGCATCGCTGAAGAACAGAATAGAGGGCGTGAGACATGGGTAAGGTCTTTAATTATCAGCCTACGATGGCGAGTGCTCCATTTTCACGTCGCTCAGGAAAGTATGATCTGAATCAACTGCTGTAACATCGGCGTGAACTTCGATTGCGTTAGTCGGTAACCCGAAGACGTCCGTTACAGTGATTCTGATAGGCTAATGATACAAAGATTAGTTAAAAATCATTGCAAGTGCTTGCAATTTTTACCTGGTTTGGATCAAACATGAGAGGGCCATCACGAGATATCACTACCGGCACAAAATGACTATTATCTGCTAATGCTTTCAAAGCCTTCAGCACATAGAACGCAGATTTTTCAGTTGATATATGCTTGCGAGACAGCAAGTAGTTTGTGAGCATTAATATTTGTTCCTGAAAATCATAATATAATTCCTAGAATCCCTTATGGAAATGTTCCACTGATTGTCGCACTTGAACCTTCCGAACTCAAAGTTTTTTTCAAGGGATTGGAGGTACACAAAACGTCTATCCACCTATCTTAACTCATCTGTTGATGTTGTGTTAGCGGCACTTTGCTATCCATAACTCCTCGTTTATCGTCTTGAAAACAAAAGGAAGTCGACATTTTAACGCAGTTTGTATATGCATAAGAAAAACTTTTCATAGCAGAGATTTGTGAAGTACTCAATAGTGATTTGATTCAGGACTCCCAAATACAACGTTGAAAATTCAAGTTCCCCAGTAATCGTTGAAAATCTTATCTAAATTCATGAAGCCTATCCTGACGGCATAGCCTTACTGTGCAGCAAGAAATTTTAAGAAAGCAACGAAACTGGTGAATAACGCACATGCTGGAGTATAATCTGCCTTTCACAAAACAATCAAAATATTAGACAAGAAACATTTTTAAAAAAACTTAAAAAAGGTATAAAATGAACAGAACTTTTGAGTGCAACAACCCAAGTGTCGGATCAAACCAGCCCACAGTAAGACCTATTCGGAAAAATTCTATTCCTAATTTGGTCAACACATTAAAAAGGCACACCGAAATCAAGCTCTCCAAAAAAGTGTTCTCATCGCTAATCTGAAAGATGACTGAATTATACCTGGGTTACAGGTGGGATCCTCTCTTGTTTCTCAGCTAATGCTA